GTCACAACAAGCGAGAGCGAGATGGCACTGGGCGGCGCGTCCTGGGAGCGAGCGAGAGCGGCAGCGTGGGGGCTTATCGGCAAAGTCCAAGGTGACCCCGGCTGGCAGCTGTGTTCGTTTGGACTGGCCGGCGCGCACGTTCTGTCCTTGTCCCACACGCACCAACTTGGCCATTGCGCGGTTGCCGCGACGCGTTCAAAAGGTCAAGATCTAAACGTCGCTGGGCGATTTTTGCGCGTTTTTTCTCAAATTTTTGCCCGCTTTTCCTCCTTGTCCAATCAAATGCCAGGATTTTTGCGCTATCCATTGGTTTGATTGTCCTGGTTAGGGTTTGGTGTTCATGACGTAATGGCGAATGCGCCAATGTAGATTTCTGCAACTCGAGCTTTGCATTCACCTTATCGCTTGTTTCTGCATCAGGAACTGCCGCTCTGCGCCGCTTCTTAAACACTGACCTCTCGTCAAATAGAGAGCATCTGCAACGACAACAAATAGCGGAACGCTAACGTTAAACATGTCTGCGGCGCCTAATAGGGAGGAAACTGTGCATGTGCCACCAAACTTAGTGGTTCATTCGCCATTGTGTCCCGACAAGAGAGCCACCAGCTACGTCAACTGTCAATCGCCTGTCATTGTCATGAGTGGTGCCCGTTTTCTGCCAGTGCTGCTGCTCCTGATCGCGCTGGGCGGAGCCCTAGCGACGATTCACGGCAAGTATTCGGGCCCCCTTGAGAGCTACCATCTGGCGGTGCCGCACCGAGCTACGGCCGACGGCCAGTTCCACTCGTTCCACCTGCCCTACACGCATGCCTACGACGCGCGCCAGTTCATGAAGCGACGCAAGCGCGAGCTCGACGACCCCGAGGCCCTGCACTATGGTAACGCCCCCACTCCCATCCGGCCGGCCAATCGCCCTTCGCTGTGCTTGCAGGCGTCCAATTGGACGACCAGCTGCGCCATCTGGAGTTGTGGCCCAACAGGGACTTCCTGCACCCGCAGGCGGTGATCGAGCGGCGTGACGTCACGCGCGAGGTGAAGGACATGGACGTGCGCGGGCTGAAAAACAAGAAAATGTGCTACTATATGGGGCGCGTGCGCGGGGAGCCGGACTCCCGAGCCGCCCTCAGCACCTGCGACGGTCTGGTGAGTAACTCGAGCCCCCCCCCGTCTCTGCAGCGCTAACGGGCCACGCCCCTTGCAGCTGGGCTACGTGCGGATCGGGGCGCGCACCCTCTTCATCGAGCCCGTGCAGGGGCACGGCCCCAACGAAGAGGGCCACCATCTGCATGTGGTGTATGAACCGCGCGCGCGCTCCGATGGCCGCTTCTGCGGCGTCAGCGACTCGCCCAGCCAATGGGACGCGGACATGAAGACGTGGTTCGAGTAAGACACGCCCCCTTCTCCCTCTCCCCAGTCGCAAAGACGCCAACGTCTGCTCGCAGAGAGAAGCTGCGCGATGGTGGCGGCCTCGTCAAGCGCGGCTTGGAGGAAGAGGTGAGCG